ACAATACATCCCAAACAAGAAACATCATAAATGGGGGATCAAATTTTGGATGCTTTGCGATTCAAACCAGCTGACTTCAAACGACAATGGAGGGGGACCCCCAACACGTGGAACCTGTTGGAACGGTTATACAGGGCTCCAGACAACGTAATCTCCAATAGGATAAACACTATCGCGCGATACAAGCCCTAAATAAGCCATTTCTCGAGGCGTTCCCGATACACACGATAATATCCAAGTTAGATGACCATACTCGTCCGTTATGAAAGGAATGAATTCAGGAAGAGAGTCTGCCGACTATGGAAATTGTGATAGTGGTGACATAGATTTTTAAGTATATATGTGTTGGGATGAGTGAAACAAGTATGCATGGAATTCCAATATGTAATGAATTCAGGTTATCATGATAAATGAGTATGCGTGTAATGATTGAGGTGTGTGTGAATTGTGTATATCAATGCAATGTATGAAGAAGAAAGAAAAAAGGAGAGTGATTTCGGATACGTTAGTTGCAATTGGGTTATAATAGTGAGAAGTCCTGTGATAGAGTAATTGTGAGAAATTAATTATATTTAACCCCTTCGCTCCTAGCGCCGCCTATATGCGGCATCTAAATCATGTGTATACAAGTGCCATCTGTAGTCAATAACAACGATTTCTCGTAATCGGCTGAACATTTTCTGTTGATTTTATTGATATATTGGATTAATCGCTTCTTAAAACTGCTTTTTGTTGAAACAACACCAAAACGTATTGCACAATAAATTTCAAACATCAAAACGATCTTCACTATCTTATGCCAAATAACTATCGAATCCATTCGACAGTAAAACGATCTTTCATATACAGTTTTTACAGGAATTTCGAATATTTGTTATTTAAGACTTAGAAAAATATGTATACAGTAACCACGCGCACTGTGCATATTTCTGGTGCGATTTTCCGTTCAGTGACGGTACATGGGCGGGTGGGACTGCCGTAGCGAAAGGGTTAAACGTTTATATTTGTGTTTTATAATCTTTCTAATTAAATAAAGAATTGTTCTTGTTGTTATTAAAATTTCATCCACCACTAACAGAAATCCTCCTAGACTTCCTATATAACCGACGAAAATTATTAGAAACCTCGCGGGCACGAAGGGTCTCAGAAATCAGGTACAACGAATACTCATTCGTTACGTCACGTCATTTGGTAAACCGAACACAAGCTCGAGATCACAGCCGATTCGCGCCCATTCCATTACCCAGACGACATGTGCCCTTTGCAAGGGCAACCACCTCGCTCAAGCATGCGCGAAAATAATTAATGCCACTTTAACGGAGCGTTTTGCATCGATAAGGGAAGCAAGGTTATGTACGAACTGTTTACGCGTCGGTCACGGAGTGCGAAAATGCTTGGCGAGCATATGCAGATGGTATAACGGACGGCACTATACATTATTGCATGAGCAACAGACGGGCGAGCCGCAAGAAGCGCTTCGGGTAAACGTTTCGACTCTCGAGGTAACCCAGGGGGCAGAGGTTGTACTATCCACCGCGATCGTTTACCTTCGGGACAATCGGAACAAGCAGCTACCGTGTCGGTACTGTTAGAAGAGTAGATCGCTAAGTTACCCACACATCAATAGGGACGAGGGGGTCTTTCATTCATCGACCCCCCGCCCTTTTCTCAGTCGTGTGAGTCGTGCATACGGAAGCGGACAATCGGTGGTAGCCTGTTGTAGCTTAAACCTAAATCTAGCTTCTAGTTGGGAACAATTTTTTTAGTTTCGTATTTCGTCACTAAGTCATTCTTGCTTAACGATAATTAGTAGCAGACGGTTCATTGAAGAGATTGTATTTGGCTTCGAACAGTAAGTGGACTGTGTGCTTATCTTGATATCGTGTGTTTTTATATTCTGCGAGTAACTAAGTCTACATTTATGAAAACCCTTGGTAAGGCTATACATTTTATTACTGAATGGAATTTCCGAAATTGAGGTACAAGGATAAGGATTATAAACGGAAAAGCGAACTGAATTATTGCCTCGTTCTCCAGGTACTTGGGGTATATAATGGCCAAGGTGCCATTATGGTTAAGGTGCCATCGTGTTTTACCTGGGGTACGGGGGGGGTCGGCAATATGGTATTTCCTGATAAGTAATAATACGGTACTTCACGGATTAACAAGTTTGTTAGTTTTAATTTTATTATATGAACTATGTATTATATTCAACAAACCGAAATTCGAGTATGTAAAAATCTACATATTCTCTGCCACTTCTATTATAAAATTTTATATATTAACCTATGAATCACAATTTGATACTCTGAGACTGCAGCTTTTATATAGGCCAGATTTATGCACAATTTATTTATTTCTGAGATTTCATATAACGCGGTTGGAGTCCATTCAATTTGTATTATTTTTGAATTTCTTATAGCACGGTTTCTTATAACGCAGCTGTGGTTTCTATATAACCCGGTATAAATTAATCTGTTTTGTCTTAATACTATATTTACCATAACGCAGTTTACATAAAATGCATTTCCTGATTTCAATTAATTCTGATTTTCTTATAACACGGTACGAATTAATCGCGTTATAGCAAATTTAACTACATATATATAGAGGGTGGTGTCCTAGCAACGGTAATACAACTGAAAAAGGGATGATGTACACCGGAAAAACGAATCGGAAAAAAAGAATAAAATCTTTTTTATTCGAAACCTCATTTTCGAGAAAACCGACTTTGAATATTCACCGAGTGCGCACACTTGACTATGGCTTATATCAATAAATCAACAATACAGCAGTATCGATAGTACAATCGGGGAGGGAATGATTATACATAAAAGAACAGATCAAAAATGAAGAATCAAATTTTTTCATTCAAAGTTTCGTTGTCGAGATAATCGAATTTGAATATTCACTCGAATACGCGTGCACTTAACTTCGGCTAAGGCGGATGGATCATCAATAGGATCAGTGTATTCGATGGGTACTCAAATTCAATTTTTTTGACAGCAAAGCTTCAAATGAACTAATTTTATCCTTTACTTTCGATTTGCTTTCTCACGTAGAATCACCCTTTCCTCGGTTGCACCATCAATGGCGGTGTATTGATGATCTATCCATCTAACAAGGAAAGTGCAAAGCCTTCGAATCACCGTTTTAGTTTAAAGTTTGCACATTGGGAGATTTCGTTTCCTAGTTTATGGAAATATACAATTATAGGGGTAAACACTCAATAGTCTTTTAAATATTTGCAATTAAAAATTCGTTGCTTTTTCATGTTATTTATTCATACTGCTTTCCAAAATGCTGTTTGGTGTGGTAATAATGTGCTGAAATTCCTACGCGATATACTGGTGTTTCGACATGTGTAAACGGAGACAAAAAATTTTTTCATTTTCCTAAACGTGCTTTTTACTTTGTATCAGTTTACCGCATGTTAAAATCTATCATACATTTTTACGTACGATAAACTGATACAAAACAAAAAAGACGTTTATCAAAATAAAAGAAAATTTATCCCTTATTTACAGGAATCGAAAGAACCTCAGTATATCGCGTAGAATGTTCAACACATTGTTACTAAAACAAACAACTAATTTGATAAACAATGTATATAGAAATCCATATAAGAAAGTAACGAATATTCAATTGCAAAGATTTAAGAAACTAGTGAGTCTTTGTTTCTACAACAGTATATTTTCATAAACAAGGGAACGAAATCTACCAATGTGCAAAATCTTAACTAAATCGGTGACCTGAAGGCTTTGCACTCTTTTTGTAATACATAGTTAGGTGCACGTGTATTCAGCGAATATTCGAAATTGATTTTCTCAAAACCCAAGCTTCCATTCAAAAAATTTAACTTCTTTTTTTTTATTTATTTTTGCATGTAGAATATAAATATACATCGTTAATATATAAAAATAAATGTAACGAACTTACCAGTATGTTTCAAATCATCGTGCACCTCATCATCGAAACATTCTCCATAAATGGACACTCCACCTTTGCCAGTTCCAGTAGGATCACCACCTAAAATTTCATAATTTCACTAAAGATATACAATTTTAGTTTGTTCATTTTCATCTAATAGCTAAGTGAATTGTTTTCTAACCCAATTAACGAATAAACTAGAATTAATTGAATTTGGACGTATAACGTTTATGTTTACACCTACTACACCAAATATAATTTTCTACTTTTTTTGTTACATACAACTATTAATTTGTAATTATTCTTGTTTAAATTAAACTGATAGTTTAGAAAACTATTCCATAAAACAATTTAAAATTTATTAATAACAATATAAATTATAATGAAAAATAGAAAACAATAAGATAATAAAGAAAATTGATGACATTAGAATATTTCTACATAAAAGAGATGGGTATTTGCCCAACTTCATCCCTGATTTGATATTGTATTCACAAAATTGAAGTACAATATAAAGTAATGGAAAAAAAACATACCTTGTACCATAAAATCTCGAATAACTCGGTGAAATTTTGTTCCATTGTAATATCCACGCCGTGTAAGTTCAGCAAAATTTCTGCATGTAATTGGCGCATGTTTCCAGTAAAGCTCAATAACAACTTCACCCATCCTGTAAACCGGAATACTTTATTAATCATTTTATTATCATTTGTATAACACTTTAATATTTCTACTTTTCACACAACTTTGTAATAATATTTATAATTAAAATGAAATATTATATCTACAATTCTGAATCACATCACTCGTATGTGGGCAATCTGAAATTTCTCGCGATATGATAACATTGCAATTGACTTAATTAGTAATTTAATCAACACTCTAGCAAAATTAAATGTATGCCGACAATTTTGTTAGATTTCCAATGACTCACAGTAAATTAGATCCCTACCAAGAAGAACACCCAATGCTAGTTCGAATAATACTGATTCCTATTGATGAGTTTACTGACAAAGAGTACAATAAATTTATTTTAACACATTTTATTATATTTATTCTAAACGCACGTGACAAACATACTATTACGACGCCAGCGAACAAGCGACTAAGGAACACGTGGTTTCCAGCGTACCCCCGGACATATTTGCTGCGCACAACACTGGCACGCATTCTTTGTCTCACAGCATGGCAACGCGCAAATCCTGTGTTCGTACATATATCGAAATCTATACGTTGCCATACATCCTAACAATTCCTTCGAAAAAATTGTAATATATTTACAATAGACACGTCCTCTATTCGTAAACACATGTAATAAAAAGTGGTTAGACGTATCGGTGATGTACGTACGAGTCACGTTTGTTCCGGTAGAATTTCCGTTATACATTAATAAGTTTTAAATGTTAGTAAATGCAGTTAAATATATAGCTTTAAAAAGCAAAGAATTATAAACCAATAAATTCGTGTAATAGACTACACATATAATTAAATTAAAAAATAGAGTTCCATTACAAAATAATAAACAAGAAAAATAGGATCAATGAAACAAATTTTGTCTTTGGTAAAAAGGTAGCAAAATATTTTATTGTAGCAAGAATTGTATTGTAGCGCAGATAAACGGGTGTTCTATTTCAAATACAATAACTATCCGTTATATATATAAACAGAAGAAAAAAAATTCGAAATTATGGGAAGTCAATGAAGGAATCTAGTTGATGTTCTGATCACAATAC